TGATGATGATGCTGCTGCTGCTGATGATGATGCTAATGTGGATTGATTTGCCGAGTCTGAAGATGATGGGGAGGGATATGTGATGGCGAGGATAACACGGAGGACGCTGCTGGGGAGGGGGATGCGGGTGAGGGGGATGATGACCATGATCACACAAGAGGCGGCAGGGGGTGACGAGGTGGCTCCCCCCCTCCGCACTGCTGCCTGCACCCCGTGAGTTTCCTTTTTCTGTTGCCGATGCCGCTGCTCGTCATCCTCTCTCTGTCCCTCCGCTGCTCCATCTCCGTTCTCCTGCTCCTCCTCCTCCTCCTCCTCCTCCTCCTCCTCCTCCTCCTCCTCCGTGTCGTCGTCCTCCTCTCTGTAGCGACTCGCAGCACTCAGGGTCTATCTGGTCGAAGAGTGCTGCACTCGGTTGGGGGATTGGAGAAGCAGATAAGCGAGACAGAGCGCTGTTGGGGGTCCAAAGGGTGAGCGTAGTGCGACCTGGTGCAGGAGGGCGGACAGTGGTGAATTTCCACCTTCCCGAGCTCGGGCCCACTCTCCAGAGGGGAAGGGAAGCGCCAGCCTCAGCGCGCCCTCCTCCTCCTCCTCCTCCTCCTCCTCCGCCTCCTCCTCCTCGGCTTGGAGGCCCACTACCCACCTCGTCCTGTCGCGAGGTTCACGAAAGGTAGAGATAGGCAGGAGCAGCTGGGCAAGCGGCATGGTGTGAAGCGTGGAGGCGACATTGGGGCGGCGGTGTGGCAGCAACGCGGCGTGGGAGGTGGGACAGGTGAGGCGTTACGGAGGAAGCGAGAGAGGAGGTGGGGCTGGTTGCCATGGTGACGGGGGGGTTCCGAGCATGGCACCCGCCCCTCGAGGAGGGGAGGCGGAGGCTACCTGAGTTTGCTCGGCCGAAGTGGCCTGCGGCCCCCCCTGGCTTCCGCCCAGGGGGAGCCCGCGCCTCCCCCTCCCACGCCCCCCACCTCCCGGTGGGCGTAAGCGGGGCCCTCTGGCCCGCTCGACCTGCTACTTTGACCTCCCACTCCCACACCGCCTCCCGCACCCCCTCCCACGCCCCCAAGCCCAAGCCGCGTCGTGCCCCCTCTCCGCGCCCTCGAGAACCCTGCCCACCTCCCTTGCCTCAGGTGCGTGCGGCAGCTGGGGCCAGGCTCGGATGACAGGTGAGGCAGCACTGGGGCAGCGCCAGCCGCGGGGCAGACGTAGCGGGCCGACTGCTTGCGTTGCCCTCTTGGGAGAAGTGATCGGAATGGGAGGGTGCAGTTGCATCTCGTTGAGGCGGGCCCGTGCCGTGGGCCTGCGCGCTGCACGCGGGGTAGTGGATTTGGCAGGCTGCCCGCGCCCCCATCGTGGTGGGGAGCGGAGGGGTGTGGCTCCCTGGGAAGTAGGAGCCCCACGTAGCTCCAGAGGCGGTCGGACTCCTGCGGGCGACTCCCCTTTTTAGACCGTAGTCGGAAGGGGGGTGCCATCGTATTGGGTCTGGGTTTTTTGTGGCCTCCACAGTCTTGCTCTCGATCGTGTGGTCGAAGCCGTAAGAGCCGACGTTGTACAACGCAATGCGCCGCTCGCCTGCATCAGCGTATGTCTGTTCCGCAGGTGCTGAGTCGCCCTTGTGGTCGCCTCCCTTGCGGTGATACTCGGTGGTCCCGGTGTCGCGGTCATTGCGCGTGGACCACGTGTTGACCTCTGCCTCGTTGGTTACCGCCTGCGTGGCCACATCGTCACACTTGCCCATGTCCATCGTGAGGACGGGGTAGCGATGTCCGCGGTCGAGAAACCCATGCGTTACCCCAGCAGGTCTGCGTAGTGGCGGAGCCTCATCATAAGTACGTCCCCAACTCTCCCCATCGTTCTGGCGTAGCTCTGCTGGGCGCCAGCATTGATGTTGTGGCCCTTGAGGGCAGCCTGGCTTCGCTGACGTGAATCGAGTAGGCTTGCCATCAATGTTGGCCTGCTCACATGTGCGCTTATGGTTGTGGCGACGATATCCAGCTGCCTGCGGCAAGTCCCGCGCCCGTGCCAGTCCAGCACGTTGGGTTGCCACTATTCGAGGCGGCACGGGAGGCCGTGACGTGTGACACTTCGGGCCTCTTGAAGGTTCTGGAGGCCTCTTGACGGGTTCTTTGGGGCCTTTTGGGACCTTTTGGCAGGGCTTTGAAGGCTCCTCGGGGGCTCTTGGGGGCTCCTTGGGCCGTCTGAGGGCGCTCTTTGGCCGTATGGGCGCGTTCAGAGTCCATCTTGGGGGGCTCTCTGGGACGTCTTGGGGCTTTTTCGGGGACCTGGCGGGCCGTCTAAGCGCCTTCTTGAGCCGACTTGGGGTCCCCTTGAGCCGCTCTTGGGCCATCTTGGCACTCTCTTGGGTCGTCTTGGGGCCTTCTTGGTGCCCTCGTGGGCCGTCTTGAGGCCATCTTGGAGGCTTCTTGGGCTGTCTTGAGCCGGCGAAAGCTCGAATCGGCAAGAATGTGAAACTCCTCAGATTCCAGAAAGTCACAATGATGCTGGGATCTTCGGGCGTTGCTGGAGGCTCTATTGGAGCTCTCTTGGGCCGTCTTGGAGGCCTTTTGGGCCACCTCGAGGCCATTTGAGCCATCCTAGGCCGTCATGGAGGCCTCTTGGACCATCTTGGCGGCCTCGGTGGCCTGCCAGGTCCCTCTTGGAACCCTTAGAGAGCCCCAGGGACGCGCCATGGCCGCCCCGGGACCCTCGGGAGACAGCACCCCGCCTAACAGCACTTGGTGTTCCACGCCTCGACGTGCCAGGGTGCACGGTGGCGGATTCCGGCTAGGGAGGGAGGCCCCTCCTGTCGTTGTCCCACTGACTGGCGTCATCCGTCTTGCGGGCCTTGTCCTCGTAACGCATTGGGACTGCTGCGTCGTCTGGATGCTTTTCCGTGTAGTACATGTTGATCATTTCTTCCTGGACTGAACGGTGTGGTCGTCGTTCCGCCATGTCCCCCTGGTCGTCGCCACATCCTTCGTACCCAGGAGGCAACCCTTTTGTTGAAGCCGCCCCACCTGATCCGTACCGCAGTAGCCCCTCTATCGGCGTCCCCCCAACATGCTTATACTATGTGTTCGTCACCCCCCCAGGGGCGACGCGTGCACCGAGAAATCTTATAGTATATGCGTCGTGGCGGGTGCTTTCTAGTCACACCGCTCGAGAAACATTTTACAATATCGGTATATTATGTGTTCGGGTCGCACGCGCGCCTCCAAGGCGGACTTATAGTATTAGTATATCTCTGTGCGTCCCACTGTAGGTCGCAAGACATGCTATCAATATCGACCTATGCAGGGTGATGGGTACGACTCGGTCGGTATCTTGCACCGTAGCGCTGTGCATGAGGTGGGTCAGGATGGGCTCGATGTCCTCGTGCCTGTGTCCTGGCGCAGTTGGATCGTACAGCGAGGTCTGCTATAGTTTTGGCTCGAGTGGGGCCGTTGTTTTTTTCTCGCCTGGCTCCGCTTGGATTGCCTCCATCGGGGAATGTGCAATTGCCTTGGGGATCGATCGCTTTGCCGCTGGAAGGACAGTAGCACTGGCATGCCGCTGTGCTACCGTCGGACGGTTTTTGATGGGGATACGATGCCTAGGAGATCTTCCGAGGCCTGCCGCGTCAACCTACTGGCACATGTTTACGTGGGTGTTGGGCTGCTGTCCTCGTCCTGGTCGCTGCAGTGGTGCGCGTCGTCCTTCTGGCAGTCGTGGCTCTGTGTGCGCCGGCGGCGCCGATCGGTGGGGACGGCCTTTTCGGTAGCGACGGTCGCTCGTCGTTGAGGCCGCGATGGGCAAGTCCTCCAATTCGCCGAGCATCTCAGCAATGACAATGTCCCGTTGGGTCTGCCGTGGCGCTGTCGCTGGCATTTCCTCTGGTTGCAGCCCTGGGGAGGCTCTCTGGCAGGGATGCCAGTGCTCGGGGGTTTGTCCGTGGCGTCTCGTCATGCCTGTCCGTGGATAACGCTGCTACTGTTGCGGATTGTCTATATATATATATATATGCAGTTGTCATGGACGTTGGTGGCGGTAATGGAGCTGCTGGGGTTGGGATCGCCTTTTGTAGTAATTGCGCTGCCGTGCAGGCAGTTGGCACCTTACACCTGGGGACCGGTTGGTCGATCGCCTCGTCTGCAGTCAGCGCCAGTCCAACAGGGCGTAGCGGTCCTCCCGTGGTTGGTGTAGAGCTCCCTGCTTGCTCCATGATTGGGGCTGAGACTGTCTGCAAATGTCCTGTTGGTTGAGGTCGCTGTTGGCTGCTGGCGCCATGATCACCATGTGGACAATGCCCTTGGTCCTGAATGCTGAGTGCGATGGCGGTCTCCCTTGCCACTGCTCCCACAAGTCTCCGAGTGGTAGTGGCCCTGCTGGCACTTCGATGCACTGGATGTCCCAGGCGTTGGAGCAGTCGATGTGGCTGGTCACATGTTATCTTGCAGAGCCCTGCTGGCCAAGGCCACGGCCGCGGCGTTGACCTCGTTAAGGAGCATGATGGCTCGTTTGAGCGAGACACTGGTGTCAGACTGGGCCGCAAGTAGTTCACGTATTCTCAGGGCACCAGTGCTGCTCACGAAGAACTCACCGAGCCCTTGGTCAGCCATGCCCCCCCTTCTCCTCTTCCTCCTCCTCCTGCTCCCCCTCCTCGCCTTCCACGTTCGTGCCCTCGTTCTCCCGCACGCTGACGCTGCGGGCGCCTCCGGTGCTTTTTCGGACGCGGCTCTTTCTTCTCTCCTCCCCCGCCTCCTCCTCCTCCTCCTCCTCCTCCTCCTCCTTCTCCTCCTCCTCCTCCTCCTCCTTCTCCTCCTCCTCCTCCTCCTCCTCCTCCTCCTCCCCTCCTCCCCCTCCTCCTCCTTCCTCCTCCTCCTCTTCCTCTCTTCTCCTGTCTCCTCCTCTCCTTCTCCTCTCCTCCTCCTCTCCTCGCTCCTCTCTCGTCCCGCCCACCTCGCCGAGGGTGGGCCCATGATGGGGAGGGAGGCAGGGCCCCTTGGAGCCCCCCCGCCCGCCCGCAGCCACCAGGACGTGGAGCGGGAGCACCTGCTCCAGGAGAGGCGCGCCGGCGCGCGGACGGCGGCGGGCACCTGGCGGCCTCCGTCAGGGCGCCAGGGACGGGGGCACAGCAAGTGGGGGAACGTCGACTTCACGTTTGGCTATGCCCCCGTTTAGGGGGCCCTGGGCGCCGCAGACGGGGGTACAGTAAATGGGGGTATGTGGGAAAGCCTGAGCCCCCGTTTAGCTAAACCCCTGTTTACGAAGCCCCGACTCCTGCTACGGACTGGCGCGATTTTCGCCATGGGGGGGACGGGTCTTTGAGGGAAGCGGGTCCTGAGATTTGTCGCCGTTGTCGGGCTGTCCAGGGCCCTCCACGGCCCCCTGGGCCGTCAGGAAGCGATTCGGGATGCAGACCTCCTCTGCCTCCGAGTGACCGCGCCTGGTGAGGGCGAGCGACTCCAAGCGCTGCTGGCGCTGGGGCGCGCGACGGATTCAGTCGTCGGAGCCCCAGCGCCAGCGCCACTTGGAGGGAACGACCCCGCATAGGGTGAGATGGACAGGGGTGCGACAGGCAGCAGCCAGCGGCCACCAACACCGCGGGACGAGCCCGCGAGCCCGGTACTGCTATCCCGCCCCGGGGTCCGGGCGGTGGCACGACACCCACACGGCACGGCACGGCGCAGGGCACCAGGAGCCGAGGTCTGGGCAGTGCAACCGCGAGGCGGTGGCCGAACCCCTCACGGGGGCAACGGGCAGGCGTGCGATGCCGCGATGCCCCCCCCCCCCCCCGGCCGCAGCCGGCCGATCAGCCACGATGCCCCGAACTGACGAAACCACAAATGGACCCCCGAAAGTCTGCTGAAACTTCCTGCATTCAAACCCTGGTCAGTTTGAGGATCATGGGGAAGGCCCCATTGCCCAGGATCCGTCTCCCACAAGGCCCGCTTCCTCCATGCTAGAATTGTTTCACACCAGGGGTTTTCGCCATGACCCTGACATATCGATCGGGTTCGGAACGTGACGCAGAAAGATGGAGTCCGGGGCTCCGGTCGTGATTTTTGTGCGATATGTTTTTCCGCAACGTCGGATCTCGGGGTTCTCCTGCTTTGGGCTGGTGCAGGGGGGCCAGATGAGGTGGCCAGGGTCAGCACTTCCACTCCTTCCCGCGTAACCGCAGGCGTCTCGGGCTCGTTTCAGCCCCTGCCAATTTTTCCAGCCTGGCTACTTCCACTTTCATGGCAGCTTCTCGTACTCCCTCTCTCTCTCTCTCCCCCCCATCCCGTCCTTGCATCCCTCCCATTTCCTTGCCTTGCATCCCTCCCTCCCTGCACTCCCTCCCTCCCTCCACTCCCTCCCTCCCTCCCTTCCTCTCCCTCCCTCCCTCCTTCCCTCCCTTTCAGCGTCAAAATCTAAGACACATCTCTCCTTCCCCCTCCCTCCTTTTCTCCTTCCCCCTCCCTCCTTTTCTCCTTCCCCCCTTCCCTTCCCTCGTTCTCTGCTTCCTCCTCCCCTGATCCTCCTGTCGCCTTGCCAGCCTCCTCGTCCTCCCTCCTCCCTCCCTCCCCCTCGCTCTCTGCCGCTCTCCCCCTCGCCTCCCCTCAAGCGAGGACGGGGACCGCAGGCTGCTTGTCGCGCTCCAGGCGGTGTGCACATGGAGCGTGGCCGCCGTGAGCAGGAGCGGTGCAGGGAGGGGGAGGGGAGGGGGAGGGGGAGGGGGAGGGGGAGAAGGACAAGCCAGGTGCGCTCGCGTCATATCTGACGTCCCACCCCTCCGTCTCATCCCTTACCATGGCGTAGATCTCCTCTCTATTCGCACAATCGGATGTCGTATACATGGCATAGCATGGTGTCGAAGCTCAACGCGTAGCATGACATAGCATGGCGTGGCGACGCCCCAAGGCGGGGGTGGCTTCTGCGGCCCCAGAAATCAACGAATCGACACCGAATGTGTAACCACTTCCGATGGTTTCTTCGGGAGGCCATTTTCTAGATTTGGGGGCTTATTTGGAAGGACCGAAAACCATACCGGGGCATGACAGTCGAAATAATGACGCCAGCGATGCAGCGGGAACACGATTCGGAACGAGCGGAAACGCGGAAATGAGGCCAACGTTGCAGCGGGAACACGATTGGGAACGAACGGTAGCCCGAAAATGAGGCCAGCGCTTCAGCGAGAGCAGCATTTTGAAAACAAACAAGCGCGGAAACGCGAAAATGAGGACGCGGAGCCTGACATAGCATGGCGTGGCGACGCCTCAAAGTGGGGGGGGGCTTCCGCGGCCCAGAACATCAACGAATCGGCACCGAATGTGTAACCACTCCCGATGGAAAGATTTTGGAGCCTCTTTGGAAGGACCCGAAAACCATGCCAGACATGGCGCTGGAAGTAATGACGCCAGCGATGCAGCTGGAGCACGCGTCGGAACGAGCGGAAGCGCGGAAATGAGGCCAGCGCTGCAGCGGGCGCACGATTCGGAACGAGCGGTAGCCCGAAAATCAGGCCAGCGATTGAGTGAGAGAAGCATCAAAAAATCCAAGCGAAAACTCAACTCCCTGGAGTCCTGTATGTAAAAAACAGTACGCGAAGGGGGGCCAGACATTCCCCGAACGCCACCAGGGGAGAAAGGGGAGTAGTATTCAGATTGTGCAATTTTGCAGGAGGAGGAGGAGGAGGAGGAGGAGGAGGAGGAGGAGGAGGAGGAGGAGGAGGAGGAGGAGGAGGAGGAGGAGGAGAAAGATGGACGGATGGGACGTCATCAAAAGGCCCCGGCGGCCGTCAGCACGTTGACGACCGCCAGGGCCCCAGATATCAAAGAGTCCGCTACCCGCGGACGGCCGTGCACCCCGCGCGCGGCCGACGCGCCGCCCTCGGCGGCGCCAGAGGCGCGTCCGCCCCCTCCTCGCCTTCGCACGGCTCCTGGGGGGGGGGGAGCTGCAGGGTTCCCCCAGGCGCGGCGGTGGCCCCGCGGGGCGCCGCACTGGCGGCACTTCCCCGCCCTCCGCCAGCCGCCGCGGCGGCCGGCCACTCCTCGCCCCTGCACGCGGCCTGGGGGGGGGCTGCAAGGTCCCCCAGGCGCGGCAGGGGCCCCGCGGGGCGCCGCGCCGGCGGCCCTTCCCCGCTCGGTGGGCGGGCATCTTCCCACTTGCTGCAGCACGCCGCTCCTCCGCGTGGGGCGGCCGCGAGGCCGCCCCTGGCGCGGGGGAGGGGCCTCGGGGTGCTCAGCGGGCTGCTCCCCGCCCCGCCCTGGGCCTTCGCGCCGCCCCTCCTGGCTGCCGGGGCCCCGCCCACGCCGCCCCACCAGCGGCGGCACGCTGTCCCAGCCTCACGCCAGCGGCGGCCCACGGGCAGGGCCGCAGGCCCGTGGCGCTCGGGGGGAACACGGGCGCCCCGGCAGCCTGATCCACACGCAGCAGGTGGGGAGGCAATCCAGCAGACGGTGCAGCCGCCGCAGCTGCCGTCTTGCCGTGCATGATACCATCCATGAGCTCATATGAGCTCATATGAGCTGCGCCAGCCCATCCTCAGCCAAGCGCAGCTCATGAAAGTTGCCGCAGCTCACATGAGCTGCACCAGCCCATCCTTCAGCCAAGCGGACGGCGACGGCGAGGGAGACGGTGGCGCCTTGCGGCTGGCAGCTCTGGACGGTGAACGGGTCCTGGACCTGGATCGTCGGGGTGGCGGGAACCATGGCGGCTGCACAAAGGCAGCCAGCCGCGCGGGGCGGCCGTGCCGCCACCCCTTCTCGCACAGCTCTCTGGCCCTCCTCTGCCTCACGCGCCAGGCCTCTTCTGGCAACATGTCCTCGAAGAGGGCACGGAAAGGCTCCGTCGCGAGGAACTCTGACAGTTCCTCCATGCAGTGGGCCATCCACCCTGCGCACCCATCGTCGCGCATGGCCATGCTAGAGGTCCACTGCCCAGCGAGGTCGGCCAGCCCGTCGAGGAAGTGCCTGCCCCGCTGCTCTGCCTGGTGTGCGTGGAAGTTCGTGGCCGCGGCTGGCTGACTGGTTCGCGGGGTTCGCATCCACGAGCAGTGTACTTACTCCCTTCGAGGCTCCAGCACGACGTGGCGACTTTGAGCCTGGGGTGTTTCCTCTCGTGGGGGCTTCCCCAGGACTTCGCGAACTGACGCCTCCTGCACGGCGTGGGGGCATCCTCCGGACTTTGCGTCGCCCTGCCGACGCCGCCGACCTCGAACGTGGCGCGATGCCGGTCCTGCTGCAGCTCTCGAGCACGTGCGCTGTGATGGTAGCCCCCGTGACTCTCCACTACGCCGTGCTCGTAGAAGCTGCTGGGAACGACCCGCTCCAGCGTGGGCTGCAGCACGCGCGCGCTGTGGCGGTGGCCCCCGCGACTCTCCGCCACGCCGCGTGCCGTGCTTCCGCTGGGCAGGTCACCCCCGCGCTCCGCAGAGGCCATTCGAAGATGTCTGTGTCCTCGCTGGGCATGCGCCTGCCCCTGGCGCGCTGACCGCGCAGCGGTCGTCGCGACCGAGGGCGCTGCGGAACATCTCGATGATGTTGCGGAGCTCCTGTGCGTGCCGTTGGTCCATCCGCTGGCGCTCCTCAGGATCAGCCCCCTCGTGCCTGGCGACGAAGGCCCGCCGCCTCAGCGCGCCTTGACGCCATGCGCTGGCACGAAGGCCCTCCGCGATTTCGCCAATCGACCTGCCGAACCACCGCCTCAGGCTCTCGCGCAGGGGGGCCAGGATCGTGTTGAGGGGCTGCACGCACTGCTCCTGCCATGCGTGCTGGTCGCTGCTCTGGAGCGCTGCGCCATTGAAGGAAGGTCGTAGCGCATGTCCTGACAGCCCCTCTCGACCTGCTGGTGATCTGGGGGGGCATGGGGCGGGGGGCCCATATCGGGCCGGACGAAAGGGGGGATTGGGAAAGGGGGGGTCACGAAATCTGTTGCATGCAGCTAGTTTCGGCCCCACCGAGGGGTCCATTCCTTGATGCATAGCCGCCTCCGGCGCCGGGAGGCGCCGGGAAAATCAGCTACGTGAGCTGATTCTAAAACCCCCCCCTAACCCCCCCCTTTGCTATCCCCCCCTTTCGCCCGGCTCGACCATAGCCGACGGGGGCTGGCTACCTCGGCCTCCAGCATCTCGGTCCTGAGCTTTACCCCGATGGCAGCTACCAGGGCGAAGCGGGCGGCGGCAGAGGGGGGCGGCCCGCTCGCGCCTGGCCGCGCAGCGGCCGTCACAACCGTAGCACTTCGCGGCGCAGGCCCCAGCGGTGACCCGCCATTACAATGACAGCCATCCGTTCTCGCAGAAGGACGGCCACCAGGAGGCTCCGATATGACGGCTTCTGGGCCCAGGGCGGGGCCTAGCAGGGGGGCGCTACGTTTGCTTGGCGACGCCGAGCCGCTGGGACTCCTCCCCTGGGACCCTTGAAGGTGGCTGCCTCTGCCGTTGGAGGCCTCAAGGAGGAACTCGACCTTCTCCTGCAGGGTGCGCTGGTCAGTGCATGTGCGGGCGCCGCTGACCCCGCAGGGGCTGGGAGGTACCGGCGTAGCTGACGCTGGGCACAGGGGCAGGCTGTCGCTCGGCAGATGTTCAGGCGCAGCCCGCGCGGTCGAGCTGGCCGTGGCCGTCACCTTGGCGGTCGCCTCGCAGTAGATGATGACTCCGCCCGAGTATGGCGCTGTGTGGTCCTGCAGCCATAGCCTGCCTGGGGCCTGGCGTGGCCGTCGGCGACTCGACCAGCCTGGCCCTTCTTGGTGCCTGTCTGCTTCGCTCCCGCTCGGCGCGTGCCGGCCGCCCGCTGCCAGTGGCTGGCGCGCCGTGCGCGCGGTTCGCAGCTGCCAGGCGGGGGTTGGTGGGGCTGGCCGCTGCCGCGGCCGAGGGTGTCCCAGTGCTACGCCTCGGATGCTGATGACCTCGGTGAACTGTCACCTCGCGGCGGCGGGGGGCGCATGCTCGGGCGGCGGCTGCAGCGGGGGGTCAGGCGGGGCCAGGCCGCCAGCGACCACGTGGGCGATGGTGGCACCGATGCGGCCCGCCTGAGCGGCGGCCTGCGGGGGGCCGCTGTGGGAGGGGTAGACTGACCTCGCGATTCTCTTGGGGGTCTCCGCTGGCTTGCGGGAGGTGGTGCCCTTGCACTCCGCCCGCAGCCCCATGCCGATCGTCGTGCCGTAGGCTCCGTACGCGTTGCAGAAGAAGAGGCTGTGGGTGGGCCACTCCATGATGCGGTGCGAGCTGTGGATGGCCCCCGTGCCCATGGAGACTGGGTTGCCATGGGTGACCTCATGATCGTGGCCCAGTCGATGCCCTGGCCCAGCGCAACGGTCTGGTGCTCCGAGCTGTCGATGGTGCTTTGGAGAGAGGGAAGGTGGGCAGCCGACTCAGCTGCTGGCCTCTCAGTGAGGCATGGGTCGCCACCCGCCGCATCCATGCGCGCCTGCCTCGCACGCCTCCTGATCTGTGAAGCGATGACGTCCCTGTGGTCGGCGTGCGGGGCGCTGGCCGCGGCGGTCTGCCGTGCGATCGGGGCGCCGAGGTCGGCGAGCCCGTCGGCGCAGCAGTCGCCCGTGGCCAGGTACTGCGAGGCGATGGGTGCGCCGTCGTCACCCTGGTGGGAGGGCGTCCAAATGGCCTTGAGCCGCCCGTTGGGCTGGACTCCGAGGGCTCTGCTAATGCGCGCCCAGAGGTCACTGTTCCTGCCGCCGCCCAGGCTGGCCCAGCGCTGCCTGTCCCACGCGGCCAGTGGCTCGCGGTCGGCGACGGACTCGATGTCGGCGCACGTCCGCTCGAGGGCCAGCACGAAGGCGTAGATCTTTCCACGGGGAACCGACTGCTTCCGCCCAGGGAGAGTGGTAATGACCCCCGCGTAGGGCTGCCAGCGGCCGCTCGTGTTCGAGACAAGGGCGAGGTCTAGGCCGATCCTCCTCCTGCGAGGGTCGTCGCTGTGCTTCCCGCCCGAGGCGTCGCCGAAGATCGAGCGCGGCCCGTCTGACGGCCTGGGCCAGGGGTGGCCTGTCAGCACGAAGCTCTCCTCGTGAGGCTGTGGTGGCGGTGGGGTGGCGGTGGGGTGGCGTTGGCGGCTGGGTTGATCCCTCGGGGCCACAACTCTGGACAGCCTTCGATGCTGCTGAGGGCCTGCGGGACGAGGTGGGCCGTCTGGTCGAAGCCTGGTTTGCCCGTGTTGCACGGTCAGCGCCATATGCGGTGCTCGAGGAGCTCCTCCGAGTGGCAGCGCCGGCAAAGTGGGGAACCTCGATGCCCCGCGCCGACTTGCCTCTGCCTTGGTCACTGCCCGCCCGCCACCACCAGGTAGTTTAGGGCCCACTCCTGCCAGTGGCTCTCCTTGGCACAGTGGTTCAGCTCCCTCTTGATCTGCGACGCGTCGCCTTTGCCTCCGAGTCCTGCGCTATGGGCATGTTTGGCTGCTCTCTTCCAGCGCAGCGCGTCCAAGTCCTCGGTGAGGTCGTCGATCAACTCCGAGAACTCGTGGAAGTCGACCATGAGGCAATTGATGGCGTCAGCCAGGGGGATGGTCCACTCGTCCACGCCTTCTGCCGTTGATCTGGTTGGCCTTCTCCACGAGTCAGGCCTAGCTGGACTCCGCCCAACGCCGAGCAGCGTGGCGATGATGGCTGCCACTGGCCCCTTCACCTTCCTCCACCTGCCTTCCTTCGCGCGGAGAAGTCGATGGCGCGCGTGAGGCCAAACGCGCTGGGCTCTCTTGTGGATTGGGGTTTCGCCAGCCACTGGGCGAGCCACTCGTTGACCAGCTGGGAGCGGAGCTTGATGGCTGGGTCTTTGTGGTGGTAGGGGACAGCCATGGCGGTGTCGAGGCAGCGTCCTGGGCCTGCTCCAGCCGCCGCTGCCGCTGCGGCGTGACGGAGGTGCGTGGTGCGCGAGGGGGCGACACCCCGGACTTCGCGCCCAAAGACCGCCTGCAGCTGCAACCCTGTGGCGTGGAGGCTGGCGCCCAGCTTGCCGAGGCGGGCAGCCGCTCGACGGAGGCGGGTAACGCCCTTGTCGCGACTGGTCGCCTTCTCGTGCCTCGCATGTGCCTTCCGCTGGGCCCGACGCTTGCCTGTGACCGCGTCCACCCCGAGGTCGACCGTGCTGGTGGCTGTGTGACCTGGAGCGCCCTGCAACCGCATGCGCCTGGCGATGGACTTGCGCAGGTTGGGCGCGGAGGCGACGAGAGTGGTCTTTGGGGAGACGGCTTCTCGCACAAAGCTGGGCCAACGCTGAGCTGGCGGTGGCGAGGGAGCTGGTGACGAGGTCCTTGGTGCCCTCCGCTCGCTAGAACGTGTCGTCGATGTAGGACCGAATGGTGGTTGCCTGGTCCTGGTCCTGGGCAGCCTGCAGGATCGGGCAGAGGAAGTAGCTTGCACCACATAGCCTACACCGCATAGCTTGGACAATGTAGCTTACCCCACGTAGCTTGCACCGAATGTACGCTACCACACTGCTTACACATCCACAATGCAAGCGCCTACTGTTTGGGGACCACGCTGACTAACATGTCATCTGTTCAAGCCGTTCTCCTCCGTCGTCCCTTGCTTCTCCTTCCTCTCTCCTTCCTCCTTCTCCCTTCCAGAGATGGTAATGAAGTGGATCAGCAGGATATTGATGATGGTGATGACGACGGTGCCGACGATGATGCTGATGATGATGCCGATGCTGATGATGCTGCTGCTGCTGGTGATGATAACGATGCTGATGATGATGTGGATGATGTGGATGATGATGCTGCTGATTATGATGATGCTGATGTTGATGATGTTGATGATGATGATGATGATGATGAGGATGAATGCTGCTGATGATGCTAATGATGAGGAGGATGATGCTGCTGATGATGCTGATGCTGATGATGACCCCTGACGACGATGAGGACGATGGCGATGATGAAGCTGCTGCTGATGATGCTGAGGATGACGATGCTGATGCTTCTGATGATGATGATGATCGTGGTGGTGGTAATGCTGTTGCTGCTGATGCTGATACTGATGATGAGGATGATGGTGATGATGATGAGGATGATGGTGATGATGATGAGGATGAGGATGCTGCTGATGATGATGATGATGATGATGATGATGATGATGATGGCAATGATGATGATGACGATGATGATGATGATGACGATGATGATGATGATGATGATGCTGATGCTGATGATGATGATGATGATGACGATGACGATGACGATGACGATGATGATGATGATCATGATGCTGATGCTGATGATGATGATGATGATGATGATGAGATGAGATGAGATGAGATGAGATGAGATGAGATGAGATGATGATGATGATGATGATGATGATGATGATGATGGTGATGATGATGATGATGATGATGATGATGATGATGATGATGATGATGATGATGATGATGATGATGATGATGATGGTGATGACGGTGTTGACGACGACGACGCTGGCGGCGGAGGCAATGATGATGGCAGTAATTGTGATAGTGGTCGTGATGAGTATGATGAGGAGGCAGTGCGGGCAGGGACGGAAGGGATGGCCGCGCCTGTCGCAGTCGCGGTCGTGGAACAGACCGCTCGATTTCGTGGCGAGCGAAACAGGAGCAGCAGAGAAGCAGAGGAACGGGCCAGGTGTTGGAGCGCGCGACCAGGTTGTCGTTCCCCAAGGCTTTCGAATCAGGAGGAGAGAGAGGGGACCGCCACAGGACATGTGGTCGCGCGGGCCTGACCCCGGAGATACTCTGGGAGTGGACCTGCCGCGATGCCCTCTGGGCGCTGGTGCTGGCGAAGGGCGTTCTCTCCGCAAGGGTGGGCTCCTCTCCGCTCCTGGCGATGCCGGAGGACGCTCGCGGGCGTCGTCGTCGGCGTCGGCGTCAGCGCCGGCGTTGGCGTTGTCTAGGAGGAAGGTTCTGCATTTCTTCCCCTCGAGGCTCCTCTGGGGTCTTCGGAGTCCTCTGGAGACTTCAGGAGACCCCCACGGTCCCACGAGAGGACGGAGTGAGGAGGGGGGGCAGGGAGAGGTGTGAGTGGAGGTGAGGCAAGCTATGCGCGCTCGCGCAATATCTGACATCATACCCCTCCCACCAATCCCTTCCCATTGCGCTATCTGTTGTTGTTGTTGTTGTTGTTGTGGTTGTGGTTGTGGTTGTGGTTGTGGTTGTGGTTGTGGTTGTGGTTGTGGTTGTTGCTGCTGCTGGTGTAATTGTTGTTGTGGTTTTTTCTCTGTCCGCTGACGCGTGTCCTGGCAGACCTGGGACTCCAAAGAGCACCTCCATCGTCTTCAGCAAAAGCGGAAAAGGGAGCCGCGTACATCGGAGGAGGAGGTTGCGGATGAGAAGGAGGATGATCAGGGGGAGAGGTGGAGGATGAGGAAGGAGGATGACGACGAAGATCAGCAGCAGGAGGAGCTGGAGTGGAAGGGGCGGGAGAAGCAGGAGGACCAGAGGAAGGTGGGGGCGGGGAAAAGAAGGGGGCGACAACGATGACATACGATGAAAGCGCACGCGCTGGGACGAGACCGCAATTCTGAACGATGGGAGCATAGCGCCGATCCGAAAATGCGGCCAACGCTGCACCGAAGGCAAACGGATTAGACAAACCAGGAGAAAGATTCATGTTGGCCAGCTCCTTGCATTATATGCGGTGCAATCTAGGTGGTGCAACCAAGGTGGTGCAATTAATTTTTGCCAACTCACGAGTTGTCAACTCGACTGCTCGCGCAATCGTCCAACCCTCCCACCCGCAACCTTGTATTACAAAACCCAGTCGTCGGCGATTGCGATGACTGCTTGGCCATGGCTGGCGCATCTCTGCGGCCGCTCTGGTGCGCGCAAGTTCGCGTTCAGAGCGGCTAGCAGGATTGGCACAACCGATGCGGCCACGATGGCTCTTACCGATGGCAGCGTCCTAGCGCGCTTCCGCGCTCGCGCACGGGCACTTCAATGCGGGTCTTTGGTTCGGGCGGGCGCTGTATCATGATGACGCCGGCAACGGCGGCAACGATGATGATATTAGAGACAGTTGTGTCGATGCTGGCGATGATGACGGCAAGGCCAAACACGGCGCCGATGTTGGTACCGACGATGATGGTGATGATGTCCACCTTCCGATGATGAAGGTAGAGGCGGTAGAGAAGACGGGAACTCGGCGTCAGCATGGATCCTCAGATCTCATTGGCCAGACGCTGGAGGTAGGGCCTCCCAGATCAGAGCCATGGCTGGGTGCTTCGACCAAGGCGCAAAGACGCCCTTCAGGCCGAAGCAATCCCATTATAATGCTGGATTGATTGCGTAACCCCCGTGGTAGCAGAGAAGCACTGCGCCCTTCAAGTGTCACATTCGTCTGGCAGGAGAAGACGATGACGTGATGCGGCGGCGCTGATGAGGGTGAGGGTAAGGAAGTGCTCTCGCACGGACATCCCAAAGCCCCGGCGCACTTTTTGATGAGGCACATTTTTTTCATACGCTTCTGGGATGCTCTGTTTTGAAATGCTTCGGACACATATTGTTCTTGACGGATTTCGACACGTTCGCGTGTCAGCGCGGGCGTGTGGCCTGCATCGGGTTATTTGATACGGAATTGTGCATTTGGCACATGCTCCGTCGACGCGGATGCACCGCGTGGTGTGATGAACATGTGGCTTCCGGACAAGATGGCTAACACCAGATGGTGTTCTGATGGTTTCAGCAAGTGCGCGCGGGTAGACAATTTGCAGCAGTGATGGATCACCTCAGCGCTTTCGATGTTTTCAGGTCGGATTCCTTTTATCGCTGCTGTGTTTGTTATGGTTTCGATATGTGCGCGCGTGTGGACGTTGTGACATTATTTGCAAGGGGTAATTGACACGTGATCTTTTGCGATCAAGGACTTTGCGCGCATAGTGCCCTTCAAGAGGCTTGCGCCACTCCGTCGATGCCCAGAAGAGGGAAGAAGTCCATGGGTGAGGCCTTGTGGGGCCTTGCGAGGGCCTGGCGGACAGTATCCAAGAGTATGGTAAACGCATGGATTGGCGCTCAAACGCTGAAAGATCGTGATGATGATTATGATGATGATGATGATGATGATGATGATGATGATGATGATGATGATGATGATGATGATGATGATGATGATGATGATGATGATGATGATGATGATGATGATGCTGCTGATGATGATGCTGATTATGATGATGATGGTGATGCTGCTGCTGATGCTGATGAAGATGATGCTGATGCTGATGCTGTTGATTAGGGTTATTATGATGATGCTGATGATATTGAGGCTGCTGCTGATGATGCTGATGCTGATGATGATGATGCTGCTGCTGCTGATGACGATGCTGATGCTGCTGCTGATGATGATGATGAGGAGGAGGAGGAGGAGAAGGAGGAGGAGGGGGAGGGGGGAGGAGGAGGACGAGGATGAGGAGCAGGAGGATGAGCAGGATCAGGAGGAGGAGGAGGAGGAGGAAGAGGAGGAGGAGGAGGAGGAGGAGGAGGAGGAGGAGGAGAAGGAGGAGAAGGTGGAGGCGACGACGCTGATGTCGGGTAAGGCGAGGAGCATGCGCAGGAGACGGGGAAAGAGGAGACGGAGGAGGAAGGGACGGCGGGTGCAGAGGGGAACGACCGCGACGATGGGGACGAAGAGTGAGTACAAGGAGGGGGGCGACTCGGCGCGACGGCCCAGTTTGAGCTAGCTGGCTACTTTTTCTGAGCTGTGGTGCGGGTCGGAAGCCTGGACGGGCGAGCTGCGAACACAATGGAACACACGTGTGACAATTTAGCAGGTGTTTGGGGTGAGTCCCGCCGCGGCCTTTAGGTCATGGGGCGGAGGGTTCGTGGATGCCCTTTTGGCGGGGGGCAGGCGCCTGGGGCTCCCCTAGGAGGCATTTTGGGGTCTCTTCGGATGCCTCTCAGCAGCCTCTCGGGGCATGTGTCGAGGCATCTGGGGGCCTTTCGGTGCTTCTTGGAGGGCTCTTGGCGGGCTCTCTTGGGGTCTCGTTCGGGCGGCCAGTGAGGCCTTTGGAGGCGTTCGGGGCCATCTTGGGGGGGAAGCTCAACTTGTCAGTTCGGATCCCCCTTCTTGCGCTTTTCTTGGGGCTCTCTTGGGCCGTCTTGGGAGCCACTGGGGCCAGTTTGGTGCTCTCGTCGGGGTCTCTTGGGCAGTCTTGGGGACCCTTGGGACCGTCTCTGGGCTTTTTTTGGGATTGTCTTGGGGCGAACTTGGGACGTTATTGGGGGCCCTTGGGCCGTCTTGGACGCTTTCAAGAAGCAAAAGGCGAGTCTGATGAACATTCACGTTTCCCCCAGGGATTGGGGCGAATTTTGTTTCTTGGGGCCTTCGTAGAGGGGTCATAGTGGAGCCCTATTGGGACGTCTTTGACGCCACGTGGGCGGTCTGGAAGCCATGTTTGTTAATTATTCCGCGTGTTCGAGGCCAGCTGAGGTGGCATCCTGGGTGTCTCGGAAGGCACGGGGTGTAGGTTTGGAGGCTCTGGAGGCCCCTTGGGTGCGTTGGGGGAGCCCAGGGAGCCCCTCCCCGTCCTCAAACGCGATTGTGGACCGTGGGGGGGGAAAGGGGAGGGGGGACAGCCAACATGTCTCACACGCCTTTTCACCCCTCGCAGGCGGGGTTCGGCGGATTTGACGGGGATGAGGGGGGGTGATCTTCGGCCTGCCTTGGATGGTATGGGTTCTTATGTAAAGTTAGAGATGAGGCATAATCATATTCAATTCGCAGTGCTCCAGGGGGGACCGATAATCTTGGGGGGGCAGAGGGTGGTAGAGTCTTTTCTGTTGAAGAGAGAACCCATACGGTGCAATCTCCTTGGTCAAAGCAATGCCCGCCAATGCGCATCAATGCAACGGACCAAAGGAGCGCCCACGCAGCGCCGGGAATAAAGGAAGGGGGCTTCCAGCTTCAAGCCACCCTCTCCCTCCCCTCCATTGGAAAGAAGGGGAGGGGGCCTCCCAAGTTACCTCCCCTCTCCCCCCCCCCTTTTGTCTGCATTTTTAGGTGGGGGGGGGCCCTTGCTGAAAGGGGGTTGGGGCTTGGAAGCTCCCGCCCCCCTCCCCCCTTTCGGGGCCCTGGGTAAGCCCGAGTTCTCCTTTCCAAAGGGGGCGGGGGGGCTTCCGAAGCTACCCCCACCTCTCCCCTGTTGTTTGGATTTTGTAGCTGGGGTGTCCCTGGCCAGAGGGAGGGGGCTTGGAAGCTACCTCCACTCTCTTTTTTTCGGGGCCAAGGGTAAGCCTGGGCTTCCTTTCCAAAGGGGTGGGCTTCCGAAGCTCCCCCCCTCCCTTCCTTCTGTTCGCATTGCCAGAGGGCTCTGGCTGGAAGGGGGTGCTTCCAAGCTACCTTTCCCTTCTGGTCATCAGTGCTCCTTTGGTTTTCGGCGCCCCTTTGGTTTTCGGCGCCCCTTTGGTTTTCGGCGTCCCTTTGGTTTTGGGTGCTCCTTTGGTTTTTAGAGTTCCTTTGGTTTTCGGCGCCCCCTTGGTTTTCGGCGCCCTTTTGGTTTCTTGCATTATGCAACGCTGCAACTACATATCAATGCACACCAATGCAACGCAATGCACAGCAATGCAAAGCAACGCGAAGCAATGCAAAGCAATGCAGAAGACTGCAACGAAATCAGCGTAACGCAAGGCGAATCGAATCAATGCAAAGCGACGCGGAGCAATGCAAAGCAGTGCCAGGCAATGCAAAGCAATTCGAAGCAATGTGAAACGCTGCGAAGCAAGGTAATGCGATGCAAAGCAAAACTCTGCAGCACGCAATGTAAAACAGTAGCAATCTTGCCATGCGAGCGAGGAGGTGTGCAACGGGGCGGCGGCGACAGACGGGAACGGGGCCGCCAGGCCACCATA